GGAAAGCTAGTATTCCATGGTAGGAAAACTACCACTTTGGTAAGTTAGAGATAAAGTCCAAGTACATGATCCTGCTTTAAATGTCACTCCCACAGATTCTCCCCTAACAGCTATGGTGCCTTAAAGTGAGCACATGGTGGGTTCTATCTCCCTACAGAAGCAGACATCCTGTTGTTATCACCTCCTGCTGTGCCACCCAGCCCCCTCATACCTTCCTTAGTGCAGCTATTAGGTTTCCTCACCTGTGAGCTTAGGGACCTTACTGTAGTTACCACCCACCCTGTGACGTATGTAACTACTGAATATGCATGGCTTATGGCTACCTATAAATATCCCAAGACAGTAAAGATGCTCTCTCCCTCTCTCTCTTCTCCCACCTCCACATGGACCATCAAGAGGGGCTGAGGTGAACATGCTACCATAGAATGTCTCTGATTCTTTTAGTACTCTCCTATCTTCTATGACTTTACTATAACCTTTATATAGTCTCGCTGTACAATCTCACTTACTAACCCTTCGATTGTTAGAGGCTGGTGACCTCTGACACCCGTGTGTTATAATGGGCCTAGGTTGTGACCAGGTTTAGCTTCACTTGTGCATAGGTGGCCTTAGTCTGTGCATGCTCTGTTCTGGATTTTCCCATTGTTGTCTAAAATTAGTGTGCATGATTTCTTTTTAACCCCTTTATTGTGGCAGCACCAGCTGATTTTCGGTAGGGTAGACATTTGGTGGAGACAACCCCCTTTCATCCTTAATCTAGTTACCTGTCATTACCAGGCACAAAAAATGACTGTGGCAAGTGATTTCTACCTGCGCTACTAGGTGCTCATTCCGTAGAGCACAAGGGCAAGTTTGGACATGAGTTCCTGGAGTTCAAATTTTGACCAGATGGAAAGTTTAGGTATGCCAACAACAGCAGTTACAAAAGTGATGTCATGATCAGAAAAGAGGGTTATGTACACAAGAGTCTAATGGAAGAAGTGAAGTGAATTATTGGTGACAGTGAAATTACAAAAGAAGATGATGCTTTGTGGCTGCATCCTGACAGGGTTGGCTGACAGGAACTTGAAACTGTAACCGGAGATGAACACATTTCTTTTATCAAATCCAAAATTGGTCCTTTTAAATCAGTCAATGGATCCCGAAGGCTGGCGAGTGCTTTTATGATGTGGTGGTACAGGACCTGAAATGTTTAGTTTTCAGTCTTATTGGATTACATTTCAAGATTAAACCAATGTAAATCTATACTTTTGAGCTATTTGTATATTTAATAAAGGGATGGGTTAAGGGTGGGATTATTTTTCATTTGTAATATTGAGATTTTTGTGAAATGTGAAGCAAATTTTCTTTTGTATGCAAACGGAACATAGGAAAATATGTAAAAAAGTTTAATGGTATCATTTATGTCCAGGAGGATTGGACAATCATTCACACTACAGTCAGTAAGTAAAAACGACTTGTCATTGAGATTTTATTCCAATTAAAGATATCAAAGCCTTAAAAAGAAAGATGGTCAAGGAAAACAGGTTTGCGAGACAGCCCTGGCCCTCAGCTCTATTTCTTAATTACAAGAAACTCATACCATTCACCTAAAGGTGCCATATGTCCACAACCAACCCACCCACTGCCAGCAAGTGGATTCAGATTCACAGCAATCCTATTGGGCAAAGTCGAACTGCTCCTTTGGGTTTCTGAGACTGTGAAGCCACCTGTGGAGTGGCTGCGGGGTTGAACCATCGACATTTCTTTAGCAGTCCGATAGCTAACTCACAGCTCACAAAGCAACCACTAAACTAGTGCATACTAAAAGTGCAGAAGGGAAAATGGAAAAGAGGCTAATTGTATGCGGGGATTGTGAGGCTTTAGCCAAGAGATGTAAGGCATTGGGCTTCCACGTGGTGGCAGAGGACCCGGACTTCCAACCCCGTACCCCCTCACCTGAGTGACTGCCTGAACAGGTTGGTGGAAGAGTCTGGCTCCAGGCTCCAGTTTCTCCACTCCTCTGGAACCCAGTGGAGCTGGTGACTCAGGGGAGGTCCCTCCCGGCTCCCAGTGTTCTAGGATGGCCCCAAGTGACTCACTGCTTCGCTCCCTCTCTCACGGTGACCCCCGGGGCCAATCCCTTAATGAGTCCACACCTCTCTCTTCTCATCTGGCTGGGACAACTGCTTGGTGGAGATTTTAAGCTCCCCTGGGGCAGGGCTCTCATTTCTTCCTGCTGCTTTGAGACAGGCTTCCAGAGGGTCTGGCCGGGCATAAGGCCATGGGGCAGGCCCAGGGCTCCAGGCCCTCCAGGTTCACTGGGGGTTCCTGCTGGAACCGTCTGATTTCAGAGCCATCGGACAGCCTTTCATACCAACTACAGTTTCGGAAGCATTGAGGGTTTGGAGAATTTCCCCCCCACCTTTTCATTTTTTGATCCCTTCTTGTAAAAACTTGTTCAACAACAACAACAACAACAAAGGCAACAACAACAACAACAAAGGCAACCAGTTGTCCCCTAAGTAAGCACAACAGGAAACACGGGGAAAGAGACGCAATGGGCGTCTGTCCCCCCGGGGGGCGGGGGCCACCTGGGCGGGTTCCCGCGGGACAGGAGTGGGTGTGTGAGGGGCACACGAAGAGCTCGCGGGGCGGTGGGAGGAGCTGAGCTCCAGCGAGCCCAGCCCTGGCAGGGGCGCTCGGGGTCATTGGGCCGGGTCACGCCCCTACCTCCCAGCGCGCTCCGTGGCAGCGGCGAGCGCGCGTCCGGTCCCCTGGGAGGCTGGAGGCGGCGACGTGGTTCTCCCCACGCCGAGCCGCCACCTGGGTTCGCTGCCCCACCGGGTCCAGCCAGGTGAATCCGGCGGGCGCATCTCCCTCTTGGCCCGGGACCCTGCCCCAGCTTGTCGCGTCCCCGCGCCCTCAGCCCGGGTCCCCACCCCCTGGGGGGTCACTCCCGTAGGGTGGCTCCTCCGGAGCCCGGCGCCGCATTCCTGGGGGCGGGGGTCCGCCCTAGGGTCGCGGACTGGAGCCGGGCCCGCGGCCGGACGCGGCGGGAACTAACCGGGGTAGGGAGTTGTCTTGGGCGCTCTGACTCTTTTGGGGGACGCGCGGGGACGCGAGGTGACTCGGGGACGCGGCGCCCGCGCAGGTCCCGG